GGCCTAAAATTTTCATCACGAGTCAGACTCGTGAAAATAGTGCAAGGGGTTAACGAATAATTTCGGATACTTTATTTAACTGTGGTTAAAATAAAAAATCGCATTGCATAATTACATAAATAAATAATTACGTATACAATCAAATGTAAGATGTTTGCAGCCACTTTTCACAAGATATCACCAGCAACAAAATAATTTAGTTTCAAGAAATAAGTGGAATACCACATCAGATCTCGATTCTCTGTTGTTTCAAACATCTGATACTATATCAGCATAGTAAAACAATGCACGAAAGGCACCAAGTTCAATAGTGAAAAGTAGTTTTTCATTATCGAATGCTTGCAAATTAGAATACTGCAAGAATACTAAGAATTTTTATACAAATGATGAGATATAAGTAAAATAAACAATTACTTTTATTTCAACGGAAAGGCAAAACTGTGATCAATTATCCCAACTGTTCCCTTACTGTTGCGAATTGAACTACATAAGAAATACAGAAAATAGTCCGATTTATGTCGGGTTTGGACTTATTTTCATCAGGAGAATCACCTACATTTATTCATAATATTTTTAAGAAAGTACACTGAAAGGAGTAAAAGTTTAAATTTTTATTCATGGGTGATTTGTTCTGTGTGTTACATTGTAACTCGAGCGTCGATTGCCGGCGGCTTATCTCTTATAGGGTATCAGATAACATTTCGCCTCGTCGCCAGCGTTTCTTAGTCTGGCACGATGATTTCATCCAGCTTTCGAGCCGGCTCGGCTCAAACGGCTTGATTACCCATCACTAGCCGTGGCACATACGCAGCATTCCCCACTTTCTCCGCTTACTCCGCACAAGTCACCTGACTACTGACAAGGGAACACCGGGGACGCTGATTCCCGGATTGGAATGAAACTTTGTGGGTTTATAGAGTGATTGAAGACAAGAATAATGGTATATTTCATTCATGCCCAATCGCTCTTTAGGAGTGTGAAATCTAACCTCGAAGTCAAGTAGGCACTCTCAATTTTTCGTACTTAAGTACGAAAGTAGTACTCTTCTTAAAGTACAAGAGACAGAAAAATTGTTTCAAACAAAAGTTTAATAGTATAATAAGTGTTATAAACTTACGTTAACAAAATGTTTGAAAAAGCTCTTTTTCTTACAAAAGAAATTGAAAAACCTTTTTTTTTTAAATTGTGTTAACGCAAGATTATAGTGCTTATTGTACCATTAAATTTTGTTTGAAACATTTTTTCTATCTATTGTATTTTAAAAGTTATACGCGAAAACGTGGGAATACAGATTCGACTTTAAGGTTAGTATTTACATCTTTAAAGAGCGATTCAAATTGCGAACACAGCGTTTGTGGTGTTCCTTTGTAAACGTCAGCGAAAGAAACTGCGTGCACTCAATAATAAAAATGAATCCAAACCCGATGTTTGCGATAAAAATATTTAGAAGAACCGACATTAAAATATGTACGAGAATCGCAACAGCTATCCGCTGTAGCTCATATCGGCGAGTCTAAACACTGCAGCCATTAGTTTACAGTTTCGATTTATTTTTCTAAAAATTTAAAATTCACTTTTATAAACGTGAATTATGTTAGGTCTAAGAAGAAATCTTTCTGCATATTACAATTTTAAACAAAGAAAATTTCCGTCAGCTGTGCTAGCAAAATAATATTGTATCTTTTTAAGGAAAACTGAGAGGCACAGAATGAGTTGAATTCAACAATATCATTGTTATATAGTTTTATACAGATAAACCATATTTCTACATGGTACCGCGATAAGTTCAATTCATATGTTAAATAATACAGTCCATGTGAACGGGCAGTCAGCCGAAACAGGCTCCGCGGTGAACGTGTTATTAAAACATACGTGATACTATTCCAGTATATATTTTTATGACAATTATACAGGGTGAGTCATTTAAATCAATCCCCTCGAATATTTTCGAAACCACTGGATGATACTGAAAAATGTTACAGATAAGAGGTTTCGAGGGGGGAATAATTTGATATAAGTAGTTCTTTTGTAGCTGGTAGTAGAGCGCGTATGAAGGCTAAAGAATATAGCAGGATAGGAGGGTCAAAAGTGCCCATAGATCGATTTAGACTTTTAATAGTAATAGGGAAAATTCGGATTATCGATTTTCTCTCTATTTCTCCTGTTTAATCGCATGCAAAAATTCTGTAAAAAATCTGATAGATACTATTTATCGGGGCGCGTGTTGGAAATTTTCTTAGGCTCGAACCCGCGATGAAAAAGTACGCGCGACATCTAACATCTAACATTGAACATCAACTTTAAAAAGGTATTACAAGTACCACTTCGTAATTTTGAAATAAATAAAATATCACCTAAACTAATGGTTTCTCAGCATAAATAGCTCAACAATTTGTATAAATATGTATAAGATGTTCCGTATAGATAAATCAAAGTGATCTTTAAAACTTTATATGTAAATAATGCAGACAGGAAATAATTTTTCTAACGTAAATCCCCTTTGACACTATGCAAGTTTTATTTGAAACCTTTTTTCCTAGAGCGAGTATTTTACGGGTAATTTAAAATCGTCAAGCTAGGTGTTTCATCCTGTATGTTTTAAATAGTAACTAGTATACATATTTTATTTCCAATTATATGTATGTATAAATATGAAAACGAAATAGTTTATTGGTTCCGTTGTGTTTTTAAAATAGTATTTAAAAATCGTAATTTATTGGAGCGGCGCTAAAAGATAGTGCCACTTTGTTTAGAAATATTTTATTAATTTCAATTTAATAAAAATTAAATAATCTTGGTGAAAGTAATACAAATATTGTACACCCAATATGTTACAGTGAACTCTTCATATATGGCCACGCGAGACTCTTCCCCACCATTACTATCTAGTTCTTGCGCAGGCGCTGCAGTCGGAGATACGACGGCAGAATTTAGCATGGAGGGGGCTCTCAATATATTGCAGTTTCTAAGAATTTTACTCTCCCAGAGCCACGGCAATATGTCAAGAGTCCACGGTATATGTTATTTTATGGTTTCTTGCGTTATAATACCATTCTTTCCTTCATCCCATTTTCATTGGTAAGCAAATTTGAAGTACATATTTCCCATACAAGCTTAACATTCTTATATTTATGCTTCCGATTATTAGAATAAAAATATCTTATTTGTCAACATTTCGTTACGTATTTACAATGTTATTTCGGTCGAACTGCACAGTATCACTCATTGAACATAGTATTTGCAATTTTTTCCTCGAATTTCTCCACCACTGGGGATTACACGACGTAAAAAATCTCCTCCTTGGACAGGCCTGGTCTAGGTCTAGGCAAACGACCCTATTCGAATGTGTTTGTTTCACCGATACGCGTATAGTCCTCGTCAAGATATATGTATCTTGGCCGTAAATTATCGCATTTATACATGGTGTTAATTTTAACTCGAGCACCAAAATTATTTCCGCTAGTATTTAAAGTAAGAAAAAATGACTGAATAGGACGTACATGGTTTTAAGGCGTCCATCTGATGGTGATAAAAAAAATCCTGTGAAGGTCATTTTAACGGTTTTTTCAAGGTCATCGTATTTTCTTGCACATTAACATGTATTTTTAGACTAACAAGATGAGTTCAACGACCTACACACCATGACCTTGAAGTAATCTTGAAGCCGAAGAAATCAGGTTCAGTTTGAAGAATGCAGAAGTAAATAAACGTAGTTAGAAGTAAAAAAACATTGTATCACCATCAGATGCACGCCTTAAAACCATGTACATTTAGTCATTTTTTCTTACTTTAAATAGTAGCGGAAATAATTTAGGTGCTCGGGTTAAAATTAACTCCCTGTATAACTATAGCTTATTCGCTACTAGAGTAATTGTAAATTTTGTTTAATATTTGAAATATTTGAAAGGACTTCAATTTTTCAATTAATTGACATCATACGGTACTAAACGTTATCTCCCCTTTTATCTCTGGAAGGTTCATTCTGGTGAAAACGCTGTGAAAAAAACGACTTTTTTAGAAGTTTTCTAACAGAAAACTTTAACACATAGAGTAAGCAATTAGTCTGGGGTTTATACATATACATTTTGAGATATAAAAACAAATTTTTTGTTATTTTGTTTAATATATACTGCAAAAACCAGCAATGACTCTGACGTTCAATAAAACGGAATTGGAAAAATCCAGAGAACCACTCATCCGGAACAAAAAAAAAACAAAATTTTTCTTCAATCATCGTATCAAGCACTTGTATTGAAAAATAGTGACAATTCGCTGATTGGTATCTGTTCTTGTGAAAGTGGACCAAAAATAATTAACCTTGTAAAAATACATATGTTAACAAAAACTCTTAAATCTGCTTGATACGATAACCGTCCCTATAAGTTTTACGAAAGACTTTCGTTTTTTTTATTTCAAATGAGTGGATCTCGACATTGTATGCACACCGTTTGGGTATCTGTTCTTTTGAACGTCACAGTTATTGCTGGTTTTTGTAGTTATATTAAACAAAATAACATAAAAAAATTGTTTCATACCTTAAAATATTTAATAAACCCAAACTTACTGTTTAATCTATGTGTTATAGTTTTCTTTTACAAAAATCCTAGCCACTCTGTTTTTTTACAGCGTTTTAACCATCAGGTTTAGGCTATGCTATATTTTGGCGGCGACTATAAGCTATTCCCTGTCCCAAAATCATGCTGTTAACCTTAAGTCGATATTACTGCGCTTTTTATCCTATTTCAATTCCTTGACCATTCTATAAAATATTTCAGCTTACATCTGAAACACCCTCTGTATCCTTACGTTACATACATTTGAACCATAAAATACTGAAATTTCTACGAAAAAGTTTGACAATTTTGTGCAATAAGTATGAAAAAAGCATTAGTGTTAACGAGATACTCGTCGTTATGTACCATAAAATTAGAATTGTAAGAAGCTAAAAATGACAGGATAACATTATCAGTTAGTATATTTAATAATAGGAACTTTCTCACCACGGGAACAAGAAGTTTCTTGACTTCCTCCACAGCTCTGGCAAGTTTTAATGTGGCACGATTTTCCGTATCATCAACTGTCAATAAAACATGCAGCTCATCCGTTAGGTGTTCCCAATTTGGTTTACCCCGGTTTAGCTCCTCCTAATGAATAAATCAGAATGAATTAGTCCTATGTTATACAGTTTTATAATTATAACAAGAAACATTTTTATTCTTGTTACATCGTCACCTGAATTTCCATTATGCAGGTAACACGTAACACAACTGAATTCAATTTAATATTCAGTTTGGTTTTTATGTTTCCATCCATTTGTTTGTAATATCTTTTCATCGGAATTAAGGATGACATAGTTTTAAAAGATGTGTCTTATACTCGAGAAATGTTTTATGCCATTTTCACCTGATTACTTTTCAAAAATGTTCCTGAACTTGTGTATCTCTAAATGTAGACTTAAAAAATAGGCAAATTGAAAATTTATTCCTCAGGTAATTATGTATTCAGTAAAATATTGAGATCTTCTGAAAGGACTGTTAGGCAACATTTTAACTTTATGTTAATAAATTAGTTATTATTTAAAATTATAATACCTATGTCTACCGTGATGCCTGGCAGAACTTCATCAGTTGGCACCCAGCAGATCTTCTAAAGTATTTTTTTGATATTTCACTTTGCTGAGTTTTCAAAGTTGATATTTGTAGTGACATAAAACTGTCCTTCTCTTAAAGCTACCATTTTCTTATTTTTTAAAATTATTCATAAATTGTACGCTATGTTGTAGAAAATTTTATAAAGATTAATATGACCACATTTATAGTCAATCGGATGAATAGGTTCGGAGATCTGCTGGGTGTCAATTGTTGAAGTCTTGGCAGGCATGACGGTATTTAAATTAAATATTCTTTTTAATTTTAAATAACGACTAATTTATAGAAATAAAGGTAAAATGTTGCCTAAAATTCCTTAAAAGATCCCAATGTTTTACTTAAGAATTGCCTGAGAAATAAAATTACAAATTTACCTATCTTTTTAGGCAAAGCCAATATGCAGAGATCCAAACACTACCACAAGAGTATTTAGATCCCAACGAATGATTGCGCAGTAATATCTTTGTTTATATGTATAATTCTACACCATCAAGTCGTAGCGAATTTTTTAGCAGTTTATTACGTCGAAATCGTACATTTGTGATACAAGTTTCCTTCTGAACATTTTCTCTTCTCCTTGACTGGAACGACGTTATTTTAAACAAAAATTGAACACTTATTCTAGGCTTTGTATTAATGTTCACGGATCCAGAGGTACATATTGGGAAAGTCAGAATTTCGATACGCTAACTAGTGATAGAAAATGAAACTACTGAGAGTAGGTCGAGTATCCAAGTATCCATATGATCAACAATGTTTGAATAGATAGGTTGAGAAAAACCAGTGTTTTTATGTTTGTTGTGCTATGTAATGCTTTTGAACTAATATAAGAACAGTGATAATTATTTAAACAGTTATAGAAATTTACACCATGGAACTTTCTCGTAGAAAAAATAAAAGTTAAATATGTTGTTGGATGTACGGCAGTAACAGTCGTGCATGTAAAAATGATTCTGTTCGCTTTTACCCTTTTTCCCGGCCGAAAGGAAACTTAGTGAAATTGAAAAATAAATTAAATCAAGAAGAAATTATTGACCGCTTCAGGGCATGGGTGTGAAAGTTTTAAAAATGGACAAGAATGTATCGTCGTCTATGATAGTATACTCGTCACACTTTACAAAAAACCTATCCCAATAGATAAGTATTATTGTAATCATAAATAGAGTTGGACATAAAATTTATGATTTTTAGGAAATTGTGTCGCAAATTTACCTAAGCTATAAGTCTTACCAATAATTCGTCCATAAGTTCGTTACATAAACGTTATCATTTTAAGATTTCATCACTAATTTCATATGGATCATCTTTTAAATTTGATGTCTGAAGACAAAACGCAAGGATTTCAATAACAGCATTGTCAACTTCATTTAGTTGTACAAATTTAGTTCTACAATTTAAAAGATGGCCACGATTAATTTATGTTTACACCACCAATAATATTTTTACGCTGGGGTGTTGCACACGCGAACTTACAAAATTCGTTTATGGATATTCGCATTGTTCTTCCAATTCAAATCATAGACATCTGATTCAGACAATTTTTAAGCTGTTAAAAGCTACTGCGTATCTGCGGTATTTGAACTATAAGCAACTATAAATTTAAAAGAACCTATTGTCAGTAGTCTTTCATCTTACCACCAGAAGGACAAATACTAAGCCTCCACCGACTTTCCCAATAGATTCATCCGTAGAATCACTGACCAGTGAAACATAAATAATTGCGTCGTTGTACACATTATAACTGTAGAACCGATGAGTCTCCGATGACCCAATGTCCATAACTCGTGGTGTCAGGATGAATTAGTTGATCATTATTTACAACTAGACTGTTTCTATTTATTTCCGTTACTTATTTATCTATGTACGTAGTTATCTAATCTCTATGCTATGCATAGATTTTAACGTACAGTCGGTAAAAAAAAGTATTCCTACACCCTTTGAAACAGAACAACTCTTTCAAAATTGGACCAAGTGACTTGAGTTTCCTTGTGAAGTTAGAAGGACTAGTAGTTTACTAAATGATGTGTTAACAAAATTTTGAGAAAGTTGCAATTGGTCGGAATCGCGAAAAAAGTAGTAAACGTCGCTTTTTGCAACTTTTTTATCTGAGATTGTAATGAAAATTTAACAAATACATTGCTTAGATTTATGCTAGTTATATGCATGCTGAAAATTTCATCGAAATTTTCGCAGAATTATTTCGTGTACCTTCGTGTAAGTACGGCTATAGTCGAGATAGAATGAATCAGTGACAACGGTGAAAACGCAGGTATAGATTTTGTTTTTCGGAGTCAGTTGCGTTTCGAATTTCGGCCCATGCAGAAGTGAAAAATTACTGAAATGTATGTCGGCAATCAGTTCGTCGAAAAAGAAGGTGCTCCGAAAAGACAGAGTGCTTCGGCAAGAAAACTTAGTGCTGCGAATAGTGAGGACATTGTCGTTGAGAAGTTTCGAGCATGCGCTCCCACTTTATCCTGACGTACAAAAGCATTTATTACCTATGTACCAATATCTATGGAAGAAAGATCTTTTGGAAAGATGTGTCGGCGGGCATACGCAAAATGCCAATGAAAGTTTCAATTCTACCGTTTGGCGTTTAGCACCAAAACACCTGAACTACGGGATTAATATCATTGAAATCGCCACTTTTATAGCTGCTAGCATTTTCAATGAAGGATATTGTGCCATTTTAAAAATGATGAATATATTGGAAATAAAAATTGGACATGAGTGCAAATATTTTCCTGATAAGTACAATGCCGCACGGGTACATCGCCAAGAGCGTCTCAGCCGCAGTAGCAGTAAAGAAGCTCGTTCTGCTCGCAGAGAAGAACAATTAGAACAACAGCAGTTTCTTGAAGAAGGTTTGCTCTATGGACCTGTAATCGCAGATTAGCGCGAAATAGCTGTAAGTATCCAAAAACGTACACTTTTCACTACCTGAAACTTTGAACGCATTTTTCTCAAAACTACTTTTTCCAATTTCGCGTGCAGCATAACTCAAAAAATATTTCACCAATCGACTTATCCCAGTGCATAGATATAGAAAATTAAATTCCCCTCTAGATGAATCTATAAAATTAACGATATTACTAAATTATATAATGTTTATTGCACAGTAAACACGAACTTTTTTCTAAAAATCGCTGTCTTTGACTTTTAAGTCCCGTCATTTCTTTAATCAAGCAATTTTTATTGTTTTAATAGGTTCATTCATAGCGTAATTTTATTTAAAAAACAAAATTTGTGTGTTTGTTTTAGGCGAATACAATGGACGGTAGGCTGCACGCCGATTTATACATCTGACGCCGTGGTCGCTGGGAACTACCTCCATGGATCGACATATAGCGACTATTTTTTATTATAGACAACATTTTTTTTACTTTCTAAACTATTTATTAAGTCAACCTAAAAGCGTCAACAAATTAAACCAAATAAGTTCTTTGAAAAACATCTCCAAAAAATCAGCTGTATTTTAACCATCTATACGGAGTGCCCCCCTTAAAGGGTGTACGAATACTTTTTTTACCCATTGTTAACTTAACTTAGAAATATTGTCTAAGTTTTCACGGAGAACCACATAGCAATAAAGATTTAGGAAATTTCAACATAAAGAGATATCTAACCCCTCTTGCACAATTGAACTAATATTAGTGGTGAAATTTTATAAGTCACAAGTTACCAGTACTAATAAGTGCTCTTGCACAATAGTAACAAGTTTCGTAGAGTTTTAAATATATTTAAGTATCTGCAAATTAGAAGGCGGCTAATTATCCGATTTCACGTTTTGAGTTTATATGCATCTTGTTAACAACGCAAATTAAACAAGTGCGTGCTTACGAAAATTAAGGAGCACAAAAGCTTATTATTTGGACAATTCAGTAATAAATAATAAAAATAGATTATTATCAATAGTGACCAATAGTCAGAACCATTGACCTGTAAGGAAAATTATCAGGCTACCAAGACTTGTGAAAATTTTACCAGTAACTTTCTATAACTTGTGAATATAAAATCTACTAATACATCAGACTAGTGATTTAACTTGTACCTTGTAAAACTGTAAAAAATACATTTTATAACTTGTAAATTCACTGATACTATTAGTTAGTAAATTACTGTGCAAGGGGCCTCTGATAAACAGTAAAGCAAACAAACGAGTAGGAAAATTTACCTATCGATCGTTTCTCGTAACATTCCATACGGTAGAAATTTGTCGAAATGCGAAATAATACATACCAGTAAATAGAACATAAAAATATAAATTCTAAGTATGTATTCTTCGATATGTACTTACGATAAAATTTTCTCTCATTCGTGATACGCAGCTTGAAAAAGAAATGTTTTACTTTAACCAGTGAAATATAAGTTCGACACAATTTTTGAACACCTCGTAGGTAATTCAATATGATATTACATTCGCCAGTTTCTTCTTAATTAATGGTTACTTAGTAAATAGTTAATAACGAAATACAAATTAAAGGTAAATTATATATAAAACATAATGTACTTGGTAATATACTATAAAATAAAGGGTGCCTTAGATAAGATTTTCCCCCTGAGACTGTTAAAACTGGGGATAAACACTTCTATTCGATTATCTCTTATCGGTTAGGTAAAAACGTTTGTTCTTTTGTCTTCTAGTGATCCAGCCTTTCGATTATTAAAGTATGGAGACTACTAACCATTCAGTAGGAACAATGATGGAATAAATCAAACATAATTCAAAATCCCTCAGTTCCCGGCACATCAAAGATCAAAGAGTTATTGAACAATATATTGTTATTCGAATCAATAGTAAAACACAACAATTTTAAACATTTTTCTTTAGGGTAAAAGTAGACAATACGTCCCACTTTTAAAGAAAACTCCATAAAAAAATTTAAGTAATTCTTAACGTTATCTGCCAAATTCTGGTAATTTTTCATTTATCTTTGCAATTACTCCTTAATTACGATCAAAACATCATCAAAAGTAACAGAAAATACGGTTTTTCTACCCTCAGGTAGGGTATTTTGTACCACAGTACTCGGGTAAAATGACTCAAAACTCCCCTGTTCTTAAATGAAATATTATAAAATTTTCGACAAAATAAACAAACAGAATTCATTTCTAAATCAGTGGATTCGCACACCTATTGTCTTCCGAGGGTGAAACATTCTTTGAAGGGACCGTGTTTTATAACCAGTATTTAATAACCATTCGGGATTTTTGTAGCCAGCGACTGGATATGCAACGGCGTCTCTGCTCTTCGAGGCACAGCGCGTTGAGAAAAAAAAAACAGACCTCCACTGCGTGCATTCTCACTTCTCTAAAAATATCTTGAGACCATCAATTCCAGATGGATTGTAAATCAGTGTAAACTTCTCCTGTGAGCTTGAACTTATCCCACAAAAATTAGTAAAAATTAACAATTTTAAGAATTATAAATACAAACATTACATCATTTAACAGCTTTATGACTTCGTTAATTTTATGAATTTTCAAATACAAATATAATCACAAAACAAAGAAAAATATATTGGGTTGTTCGGAAAATTGGTAGCTAAGGGTCGAATTACTGTCTATATTTTTCTATTTGTATCTTATTCTTATTTACTACCTTCTTTCACAATTTCTTTCTATTTTTCTATTAATTTCACTGTACCGATAATAATAGAGCTGCGATTACTTTAGCTAAGAAAAAAAAGAAAGTGAATCTGCTTCTAGGTGGAATAGTGTTCCAAAGATTGCATATAAAATTAATTGGATTGAATTCTGTTTGCTAAAAATCTTAGGAATCATCAAAAGAGTTTTTGATTATTATTCTTATTAAATTTTACATATAATAAATGGTTTGCGGCCGCTCAAGGTGATTCTATAGTTATGCCACGCAGTGTAGATCCAATTGTGAGATAATAAGTAAAAGCTAGTTTCAGCTACAGATGGATGTCTTCTTTTTATATTTATGATAACACAGTCAATACACTAGAATATTTTTATGAGTTAGTCAAAAGAGATTTGGCTGTTCAATGGTATCACAAAAATGTTGATTTTGTTTTTAAACTGATATAAGTCCGTAAAGTTGCGTCTACACTATTGACTATATAGGGTGGTGCACGCAATTTTTAGTTTTTAGGTCATAATTCCGTTATTAATGCATTTATGAAAAAATGCCAAAGGAGAATGATAAATGGATCGAAAAGCACAACATCTGTAGGCCCTTAGATTTTTTTTAAGTACAACAGTGCATGTGCAATTGACAATTGTATCATTTCTTTATATGGAAATTCCTATTGTTTGTTGCACAGATCGATTCCTCTGTTCATTCTACGTAAAAAATGATTAGGGTAACATGGCAAAAAAATTATTAGTTCTCTAGATATTTTCAAAAAATGTCTTTATTCAAGAAGATACTCAAACCCTTCATGACTATGTAGTAAACGTTAAAAAAAAAAATAACGTAGATAATTTAAACAAAGTTATGAAAACAAATCGTTATCAGAAATGTTTACAATGTAATGGACAAGCGTTTGAGCATCTTCTTCAATAAACATTTTTTTTAAATATCTTGAGAAATAATAATTTTTTACGTAGAATGAACGGAGTAATCGATCTGTGCAAGTAACAATATGCATTTTCATTTAAAGAAATGATGCAATTGTCAATTGCACATGCACTGTTGCACTTAAAAAAAATCTAAGGGCCTACAGATGTAGTGATTTTCGAGCCATTTATCTTTCTCCTTTCACATTTTTTCATAAATGCAGTAATAACGGAATTATGACCTGAAATATTTGCGTGGACCACCCTGTCTAGCATAGCACGTTATACAGGATGAGTCTAGTAACGCGACGACTTCAAATAACTCGTAAATTATTTGTTGTAAAAAGAAATTTTTCAAACAAATCTTGCATAATTTGTTTTTTGTTACTTTGCTTTTTTATCGAGATATGAGGGTCACCATCAGCTTTTTAAATGGAATGCCCACTATTTTGTCCCGAATTCGGATAAAGCACCAAATTCTGCGTAAAAAAGCATTTTACCAAAGAGGACTTAAAATTTAAATAATTGCTGAGATATTCTCAAATTAAAGATTTTTTATTCGGAAATATTTCATAATACTCAGTCAACGTGAGCATTTCTTGACAATTTATTAATCTTATCTATTTTTACGATTGTACTTTTATTTGTTTCAGATTGACGTTTTATTAAACTTACAATAAAATTCGAAAAAATGTATATATTTCAATGAATATATTTCTACATTCAATAATATATTTTCATTGTTTTTTATTATTATTATTATTATTTATATTTTAGAATTACATTTCAGAGAAATCTGTTTGAATTGAAATATACATCTTAATTTGGTATTAGTTACGTTTTTGATCATTTATTAATTTTAAAGTAGTACAAGTCCATTTGTCGTTAACAAAAGCCCCGTTTAACGTAGGAAATATTTATAAAAATGATCACATAATAACATTTAGGCATAGTACATACAAGCTTATTAGCGTTTAACAATATTTTCAAATAGTCTAAAAAATCTCGAAATAAAGAAACATGGTATTGTACCACTTTGAAGAGAAACCAGCTCAATTGTGTGACCAACGGAGTTGTAAAAAAAAAAAGGTCGGTAAAATTCGAAGATAATTTCACGTTCAGTGTGGTTGCAGAGATAAATTTAATAAAACTCGTTAGTTTTACGCACCAATTAATTAATTAAACTTATTGAATCTCTAACGAAGTAATAAAAGAGTGTACCTTCTTTTTGTCCCTCATAGATCCTTTTCCTCGCACCATTATTTTACATCCCGTTTCTTGTTCTAATTGCTTAGCCGTCATCCCGCGTGGTCCAAGAATTCTTCCAACAAAGTTAAACTAAAAACAGACAAATAAAATACATGTACATCAAGTTATTCTACTTTCACATTAGAAAAGTCTTATGAACGCTTCAGAACTCATACATAATAATAACTCGAAAAACGTGTTTTTTCTGTCACTTTTGTCATGTTTGTAGCAAAGCTGCGGTATGTATAGTCAAGGCCGTTCCTGGCGGGGGTACAAAAGGTGCGCCCGCACCTAGGCGGTCAAACCCAGGGGCGTCCACAAACCATTTATTATATGTAAAATTTCCTCGGCCACGTACTATATGTGGGATCGGGAACTCCATACCCAACAAAGGAGCAAATAACATCTTGGGAAAATAGGAGGGTTCCGTGGAGCAGTGGGTAGAGTCTCTGCTTTCGGCGCCGGGGGTCGTGAGTTCGAATCCCGCTTGGTGGGCCCTCTCATTTTTCCAACGCTCCTACACTATATACCATGTATTATATGTAGAATGCCTCGGTTCCGCGGAGTCACACTCACGGTGAGCACGGACAGTTGTCAGCACCTCGTCAATCTGTCTTTTACTCGAAGCTCGAGCCTCGGTAGCTTGCCTTTGTAGTTGTCGCAGTAGTCGCCAACGAACCCTTCATTACCCCGATGGTTTTTCCATGTACCGACCCTGCGATACAGATCTCCTCAAAAACCCGACCGTTCGCTGAGACAGCTTTCACCCGGATTCGGAAGAACACCATGATGTCTTTTCGCGATATCCCGATTTCCCACACAGCCCTTTTCCAAATTCCTAATGTCGCCAAGATGTCTTCCCATAATATCCCTATTGAGAAAACGAGGCTTCTTCAAAAGGAATATTTCGTCATCCAGGCGGCCGAAATGCGTCGCGGCCGCGAGGAAGAAAAGACGATCCTGCGACCGAGAGGGGAGAAAGGAAGCTCCACGCGCGACTCGCAATATGCGAGTCGAGCAGTCGGTCGAAGACAACCGTACAAACGTATCTGTTGACACTAGACAAAATAAATTTACTTATTCGTTTACTACAGTTCAGAAGTGGGATAACACACGTGTGAAATAAATTCTCCAGTGACAGTTTAAAAAGTGTCAAGTGGTTATAAGATGCCACACGAATCGAGTAAACGTGATCGCAGCAAGCGATCAAGAAAAACGAATCGGGGTAGAAGACGAAAGGAGTCAGTTTCACCACGCGGGAGGAGTCGATCAAGGAAGCTGGAAGGTCGGTGTCAAGAACGATCCAGGGAATCGAGTAGTGGTAACCGACACCGCTTCAGAAGTCCGCACGTTCAGAGGGTACCTCGAGGCACGGTTTCGAAACGTGGAGAAACACGCAGTAGGAGCCGATCGAGGGAGCATCGACAGGAGGAAAGAAGGAGCATCATGAGTCTGGGTAACGTTACCCTGGAGTCTGGTGAGTCCGATTTAGCAATGCCGACTGGCATTGACGGAGGCTATTAAGACGGGTTCGGGGCAATCTAAACGCTACACGAATGAAAGGGTTATACCAGAGTTTGATCCGGAATCGCGAAACCTGTCAGTGTTAGAATGGTTGAGGAAAATTAATGAATTTGCTAAGGTATTTAATTGGGATGATACGGATAAGGTTTTTTTCGCCGCAATTAAATTACAGGGCATAGCAAAAAAATGGTATGATGTGCTCACGAGCTCTCCTATGACGTGGCGCGAATTTTCGGAAACTATTACCCGGCAGTTTTCTGGAGAGGAAAATTTTGGAAAATTGTTGGAAGACGCTGCGTCGTATAAAAGTATTTTGGGCCAGAGTTTGCAATCGTATTGTTTCGAAAAGATAAAGAGGTTAAATAAATTGAATTTAAATGTTCCCGAAGAGAAAATTGTTGAATTTGTGGTACACGGGATACAGGACGATCAAATAAGAATGAGTTTGATGAACATTTGACAATGGCTAAGAAAAAGACCATTCCGGAATTGACGCGGTGCCTAGAATCACTTACGGTAGAAATAGCTAATAGCTCAAAAGCGGGGAAGGGCAGGAAACGGCCCGTCGTTCGGGAAGGGGCGAGAGAGACGCATAACCGTTTCGATTCGGACGCATGTTTTCGATGCGGCAAAAGAGGTCATAAAAGATTTAATTGTCCCAATTTAGAAAATAAGGGAACGAAAGGGATTAGTAAGGGGTCACAAGGGATCGACTTAGCTAGGAAGGAGAATACCGCGGGTACCACAGACAAAATGAAATCGGTAAGATGCGGTTATTGTAATATTCCGGGTCACGCGGAAAACCAATGTTATAAGAAACAGCGTAGCGAGAGTAAAGGGAGTAGCGGGAAGAATGCATGACTAACTAATGAGAGGGCACCGCCGTCGTCGTACGCAGATAACATGGGCCCCTCGGCTCAGGTGTTAGAGGTCGAGACGGGAAAGGTAAACAAACCACTAAAGAAATGCTTAGTCGGGAAGGAAGGGAAAATATGCAGAATCGATTTAGGCAGTGATTGCTCGATAATTCGAGAGAGCGTAGCTCAACAGCTGAGCCTAGCATTCCAAGAAACAAAAAAGACGTTATCTGGGTTTAATAATTCGTTAGTAGTACCCATAGCTCGTTCGAAAATTAAAATCCTTATTGATAATATTCCGTTTAAAATAAATGTTCTGATTGTGGCAGATGAGCAATTGTCGAAAGAAATAATCATCGGCCGAGATATTTTATTTAAGGCAGGAGTTCAAGCAATATCGGATTCTTCCGATATAACATTTACCTATAATGAACGGGACAAAAGGAATAACAAGTTAGAGATTAATATGGTAGACCTTGGGAAACGGAGACCTATAGGGGAGGGTGATATTTGGGTCAACGATCTCGATGTTAGGAGTAAGACTCGATTGCTACGATTATTAAATGACTACAGGGACTGTATTTCGTTCAATTATGGAGAGTTAGGCCGAACAACTGCGGGAGAAATGAAAATTGAACTAACGGATAACGAGCCGGTCTTTCATAAACCATACCGGCTATCAAAACTCGATAGAGACAAGGTTAGAGATATGATAGCAGAGTTAGAGAGAAATAATATTATCCGCGAGAGTACGTCGCCATACGGTAGTCCAGTAGTACTAGTTAGGAAGAAAAATGGAGAAACTCGTATGGCAATAGATTATAGAGCTCTTAATCGGAAAACTAAAATTAGAAAGTTCCCATTGCCAATTATCGAAGACCAAATAGACCAGCTTGGTAATAAAAAGAAATTATTCACGTCATTAGACTTGAAATCGGGATTTTATCAGCTCCCGATACATCCCGATTCAATGGAAAAAAGTGCCTTCGTTACCCCAGATGGGCAATGGGAGTTCTTGCGCATGCCGTTTGGATTGGTCAATGCTCCGCCAGTCTTCCAAGCTATGATCAAAAGAGTACTTAAAGACCTCGCGCTCGTGTATATAGACGACGTATTAATTCCATCCCAAACCCTGGAGGAGGCGTTTGAAATAACCTGACTTTAAATTTGGTCAAATGTAGGTTCTTCCAAAATAAAATTGATTATCTAGGCCGCGAAATCTCAGAAAATGGGGTGCGTCCGGAAGCATACAAGGTTGAAGCCGTGTTGAAAGCTGCCGATCCGCAGAACGTAAAGCAAGTTCGTCAATTCTTGGGACTCGCGGGATATTTTCGCAAATTCATTCAGGATTTTGCTCGCAAAGCGGCACCTCTAACGGATCTCTTACGTAAGAACGTACCTTGGAGACGGGGTCCTAGAGCATCAGAAGCAGTGAAAGAAATAAAACGAGTCTTAGTCGATAGACCTATTTCAGCTATTTATGATCCGGTGCTACAAACGGAGGTGCATACAGACGCTAGTGCGATTGGATTAGGGGCGATTCTATTTCAAAAACACGGGAACGAGAACCAAGTAGTCGCTTATTACAGCCGTAAAACCACTCCCGAGGAGCAAAGATACCATTCGTATGATTTAGGAACGTTAGCAGTTGTTGTGGCGCTAAAGACATTTAGGGTGTACCTACTAGGAATCAAATTCACAGTAGTGACCGACTGTAGTGCAATTCGGGCCACAGCGAATAAAAAAGATATCCAACCTAGAGTAGCCCGCTGGTGGGTGTATTTGCAGGACTATAACTTCAATATTGTTTATCGTCCGGGAACCAAGCTGGCCCATGTAGATTATTTAAGTAGGAACCCAGTAGAATGCTATGCTATCGACATTACCGAAGCGGAATGGATCAAGGTGGCACAAATGCAAGATCCTAACCTCGAGGTTGTTCGGCAGATATTAGAATCAGGCGATGTACAACCGAATACTAAACAATACTTTGATAAATAT